TAACCAGTACGTTACCAGAGCTCCTTGTTGTTAGGTACCATCGAATCAGTACCGACTCAGTGAGCCTATGCACAACAGAACAAAACCCTGCCTGGTCCTGCGCCAACCTCACAGCATCGCTACGTTCGAGCCCATTGCTGCTGCCACTGTGCCAATCCATCTCATTGGGGGTCTTCCTCTTTTTCTCCAATCCTCTGCTTTACCAAACAAGATTTCTTTCTCCAGGAACTGGTCCCTCCTGATAATATGTCCGAAGTATGAGAGATGAAGTCTGGCCATCCTGGCCTCCAAAGAACCACTCTGATGGTACTTCTTTCAACACAGATTTGTTTGTTCTGACCCATAGCGACCCTGTATAGGGCTTCCAAGGAGCAGCTGGTGAATTTGAACTGCCGACCTTGCAATTAGCAGTCCAGTGTTTATCATACAGACCCACACCAGGACTCCATATCTTTATATAGATGTAGCTATAGAAATATCTACAGACCTATAAAGAATTTGTGTTAATTCATGTTCAGTCTAGATGATTCTGCATGCCCATAGGGTTTCGGGACCTCAGTTAGTTGACAAAAAACATGACACAGGAATTATTTAAGCTGTTGACCTTCTGCAGAGATGTTACAAATGAGTTGGAATGCGATATTCACGCCCTTGTGTTGGCATACCAAATCCTTGTGCAGGCTGATACACATGGTGTTACCCTAATATTTGTCTCTAAAAGCCCAGCGAAAAGGGAGGTTAGAAGCTGCAGCTCAAATCTTCAGGGAGAAGTCCTGCGAAGGCAGCAGCATTTTGGGTGCTGGACCCCCAGACTGCCTGCCAGTCCCCACAACTGCCCTGTGGGAACAACCTCTCCAAGTGGGAACGATGTTGGAGTAGTTCACCAGCCAATTCAGTCTCTGCTTTGTGCTTGGACTAAATTCAGACACAACTTTGGCTAGCTCTTTATCTGCCTGGAAGCAGATTATGCTTGTGTTCTGAGGTGTCACCGGAAACGTCTGATCAAGTTGTAAGGGTATATTGATGGGTGCAAATCTGGTTTGATGGTTTTTGGGGGAGAGGGAGAGGAGATGAGTCAGTGAGCCCTGGCTACAGAGCAGTCCTCGAGGGCACCCAGCGTCCACTGCTATGCCCACCCGGGGTCCTCAGGTGTTCCGGGAGTGACTTTGTGTAGTAGCTAAGTTATATATTTTTCTAGGCAGGGAATAAAAATGATGCAGTGACAAAGGTCACATGTGGGTTGGAGGTATCTCTGCTCTGGAACCTGAAAGAAATCTAACAGATATTCCAGAAGCTAGGACTTCACTGGAAGGAGCTCTGGTAGCGTAGTGGTTATGAATCGGGCTGCGAACCTCAAGGGTCAGCAGTTCAAAACTACCAGCTGTTTCAAGGGAGAAAGGTGAGGCTTTCTGCTCCTGTAAAGATTTACAGCCTTGGAAACCCTATACAGGGTCGCTATGGGTCGGATTTGACTCGATGGCACTTAACAACAACAATAGGACTTCACTGGTGTCCTGGTGTGGCGCAGGACAACACACTGGACCCCAAGGTCAGACTGAACCACAAGGTCAATAGTTCAAGCCCACCAGCTGCTCCTCCACAGGATCGCTGAGTCAGAACCGACTCGGTGGCTCCTAACAGCATCAGGAGCTCATGATCTGGGAGGACTTAATCCTCAAGAGAAGACAGACAGGGATCCACTTTCTCCGGAAGTTTGAACTCACTTTACCTCTCTGTCAGCTTCACAGATGGCAGGACAGTCGTTTACCTTTTCATCTAAGCCCCCCGAAACCCTTGTTCTTAAGGACCCATGTAACCCAGCACCTCTCTGGGAGAGGGGTCTAGGCTTGTTGAACAAGGTGAAGTCTTGGGACTTGTCCTTTGGGTCATGGCTGCAGACAGAGTCTGGACTTTTCCTCCAGCGAGGTCAGAGGTTGTCTACACAGGGTGACTACACAGGGTTCTGTAACCTGGTCCTCAGGGCCCACATGGAGGGACCTTGAACACAAGTGGTGCAGGACAGAGCTGGGAATGTTGGAGTGTGACCCTCAGCCTCACTGTCCCCGTCACCCTGAAACCCTTCCACGAGGAACTTAGATGACAATGTAACACCACTGGCAAAACCCTCAAAGCCCAGTGATCCTTTCCGGTGCCTGTGCAAAACAGGTAATAACCCCTTCTAATCAGTGTGGCGCTGTGGGTTAACGTGCCAGACTGCAAAGCCGTTTGAACTGCAAGGTCGGCGGTTCAAGCTCACCAGCTGCTCCTCAGAAACCCTATACAGGGTCCCTGTGGGTTGGAATCGACTCAACGGCACTTAACAACAACAACAACAATCACCATTTAAGGAGTCCTGGTGTGGCGCTGTAGACTAATGTGTCAGACTGGAAAGTAGTTTGAGCTGCAAGGTTGGCAGTTCAAGCTCACCAACTGCTCCTTGGAAACCCTATACAGGGTCACTATGGGTCGGAATCGACTCGACAGCACTTAACGACAACAACAATCACCATTTAAGGAGCTTTGGTAGCGTTGTGATTATGGATCGGGCTGCTAACCTCAAGGTCGGCAGTTTGAAGCTACCAGCCATTCCACAGGACAAAGATGAGGTTTTCTGCTCCTATAAAGATTTACAGCCTCGGAAACCCTGCGCAGGGTCGCTATGCGTTGGAATCGACTCCACAGTACTTAACAACAACAACAACAATCACTATTTACTGTTTATACACAACAGCAGGCTCTTCTTACAGAAGTCAGAGGCCGGGGAGACAGTGACGTGGAGGGTCCCCTGTTTTGGAGCCCTCACACTCCTGGCCAAAATGTGATCCTGGGTGTGACAAGAAGGCCGGAGCAAGCAAGGCACGGAATAGCTGGGTTCTGCTGCAGTTGTGTGTGGGAATAGTCAGAGCTTTTCAAGCGATTCCAAAGCCTCTTAGTTCTCAAGGCAAGGAAGCAGAAAGGAGCTGGGCCTGCCGTGCCTCAACTGCCCCGGCCGGCCTGTGGGCAGGAGGGCGTGTCCCTAGGGCTGGCTCCGCCCCCCGGTGACTGGTAAGCTTCTGCTTCCTCCTGTGAAGTTGGAGCTGGAGCTGCAGCCTGTTGGTGAAGAACATCTCCTTCCAGCCGATGTCCTCGGCCAGGGCCCTCATATCCGGGGTGATGGTGTCGCACGCAGATTGCACAATCTGTTCCCACAGTGTGTCACACATGCACAGCTGTGGGAGGAAAGAAGCACAGGTGGTTATGTGACAGACAGACAGACAGACAGACGGAGAGGCTGAGTGACAGTTGTTCCCTTAAACACGGGCGCCAGGGACAGAGGGGCACTTCTCTTAGGACCCCAGTGAGAAGGGAGGCGAGGAGTTGAAGACTTTAAAACCAAAACTCCAAACCCACTGCCTTGGAGTCGTTCCCATTCAGAGTGACCCTGTAGAGGGTTTTCCAGACGGTAAATCTTTTGGGAACACACAGGAACAGCTGGTGGGTTTGAACCACCAAACATGTGGTTAACCACCCAACACTTGACTTGCTGCACCAGGAGAGGAGGGTTTAAAATCGATCATTTGGAGGCTGTGGTGTAGAAATCAACCCGTGCCTTAGGGTAAATAAATCAAGGGTTTCTTTTTTTGCTTTTAAATTTTTATTGTGAATTGAAGAAAGGTTTGCAGACAAGATCTTCCTTTTACCTTCAACAAACCACACACTTTGTTTCACCTCAGTGATTGCAATCCCCTCCCATCAACAACAGTTCCCCCACTTCCTCCCTTGGTTACTATTTCTAGTCCACCCACCTTCCCATCCCAACTTTGTCCTTAGCTACATGTTAACCTTTGGATTTCGAATGACGGCTGTTTCATCATTCATAATGAGCATACCTCACGAGCTTGTGCCCCCTGTATACCTCTCTACTACTTGGCTGAAATTAGGCCACAAGGGTGAGATCCTTTCCAGACCTGAAGGGGGCGGTCGAAGGCCAGCGTCTCAGGTTTCTCCAGTCTCTTTTTTTTTCATTTTTTCCCCCAATTTTTTATTGTGCATTGAGTGAAGGTAAACAGACAAGATCATCAGCTTTATTTTCAAGCAATAATAAATACATTGTTTCATCTCAATGATTACAATCCCCTCCCTGCAATACCAGTGATCCTGCTTCCTCCCCGTGGATTCCCTTTTACATCCTATTTTTCACAAATGAACAAAGCAAAAATATCTGGTGCACGCATAATGCACGCGTACAAAACAAAAAATATATATTTGTTTACATGTCCAGAGGACACATTTAAAGCAAGGTATTTTATAAACAGAGCAAACTATTAGTCTAATAAAACAGTCCTTCAATTCTGAGGGTTTGTTTTGTTTGTTTTTTGATTTGGTTTTTGCTCTTGTTGGGTACAAGTTCAAACCATAGGGTCTCTAGAAAAACAGATATTATTATATAGAAGAACAGATATTATTTTATATTATTTATTATTGTGAGCCGTGGAGTCGGTTCCGACTCATAGCAACCCTGTACAGGGTTTCCGAGGCTGTAAGTCTTTACAGGAGCAGAACGCCTCATCTCTCTCCCGCGGAACAGCTGGTAGTTTCGAACTGCTGACCTTGCGGCTCGCAGCCCAATTCGTAACCACTACGTGAAAAGAACAGATGAGAGTCTCCTTATTCAACAGTGAATTCTGCTGCTACAGGTGGTGACTGGGTGAGACAACAGAACGTGTTACTACAGGGCCACGTTCAGACTTTGGATACATACGATGTCTGTGACAGAGACGGTGGTGGCCGGCGAATACATCTCTTGTTCTCCAACAATTCCTTCTTTGGACTTCTTGTTGTTGTTAAGTGCTGTAGAATCAGTTCCGACTTATAGCGATCCTTTTAGGGTTTCCAAGGAGCAGTTAGTCGGTTTGAGCTGCCTACCTTACAGTTAGCAGTCCAGTGCTTATCCGACAGTGCCACCCCAGGACTCCATACATAGGTTGTTGTTGTTGTTAGGTGCCATTGAGTCAGTACCGACTCATAGCAACCCTATACACAACAGAACGAAACACTGCCCAGTCCTGGGCCAACCTCACAATTGTTGCCATGTTTGAGCCCATTGATGCTGCCACTTGGTTGGTCCATCTCACTGGGGGTCTTCCTCTTTTTCTCTGACCCTCCATTTTACCAAACATGATATTCTCTGCAGTGACTGGTCCCTCCTGACAATAAGTCTGACGTAGGAGAGATGAAGTTTGGCCATTTTGGCCTCCAAAGAGCACTCTGGCTGCGCTTCTTCCAACACAGATCTATTGGTTCTTTTGGCAGCCCATGGCACTTTCAATATTCTCCTCCAACACCGTAACTCAAAACATCAATTCTTCTATGGTCTTCCTTATTCACTGTCCAGCTTTTGCATGTGTATGAGGTTCCTGAAAACACCATACAAAGGTGCAGGGCAGTTCATTCTTTATTATGAGCCTTCTAGGCATTTTGTAAGAGTCTGTGCTGTATTGTACGCCCTCCTCTGTGCCTGTGATTCCTAACCGACTCAACCGCACTTAACAACAACAATACCTGGTTATGGGACCATTTTTAAGTGAGCTGTTATTGAGGCAGAATGAAGGTTGTTGTTAGTTACCATCAGGTTAGTTCCACCTCACAGTGCCCCTGCGTCCAACAGCATGACGCCGGGCCTGGGCCTGTGCTAGTCTCACAATTGTTACGTTTGAGCTGTTGCTGCTACCACTATGTCAGTCCATCTCCTTGGGGGTCATCCTTGTTTTGGGGGACCCTCTACTTTAGCAAACAGGAGGTCCTTCTCCAGGGACTGGCGTCTCCTGATAAAGTCTCACCATCCTGACTTCTAAGAAGCATTCTTCTTCCAACACAGATCTGTTTGTTCTTCTGATAGTCCATGGTACTTTTAATATTCTTCTCCAACACCATAACTCAAATGCTCAGTTCTTCTACGACCTTCCTGATGCATTGTGCAACATTAACATGTATATGAGGCTATTGAAATTACCATGGTTAGGTCAACCGCACCTTAGTCCTCAAACTTGTAGCTTTGCTCTTGAACACTGTAAGAAGCCTTTACAGCAGATTTGTCTAATGCAATACATCATTTGATTTCTTGACTGCTGTTTCCGTGAGTGCTGATTGTGGATCCAAGCAAAATAAAATCTTTGATAACGTCAGTCTTTTCTCCATTTATCATGATGTTGTCTACTGATCCAGTGGTGAGGAATTTTTATTTTCTTTACACTGCAATACAACCCATACCGAAGGCTGTGGTCTTTGGTCTTCATTAATCTTTTAAGTCCTCTTTGCTTCCAGCAAGCAAGGTTGTGTCATCTTCATATCGCAGGTTGTTAATGAGTCTTCCTCCAATCCTGATGCCATAATTTGCCTCATATAATCCAGTTTCTCAGATTATTTGCTCAGCAGGCAGATTGGATCAGGATAGTGAAAGAACACAACCTTGGCGCACATGTTTCCTAATTTTAAACCATTCAGTATACAGTTGGATTAAGGTCGGACTAGGGAGCAAGGATCAATGAGCTCTGGTAGTATAGTGGTTATGAGTCAGGCTGCCAACCTCAAGGTCAGCAGTTTGAAACTACCAGTGGTTCCGCAGGAGAAAGATGAAGTGTTCTGCTCCCGTAAAGATTTACAACCTTGGAAACACTGTGCAGGGTCACTATAGGTCAGAACCAACCACACGGTACTTAACAACAACAAAACAAAGGAGCAACGGTCAAGTTGGGGCTAAGGATTAAGGATGCCCCCACCATACTAGTTTTCCTTGGGAGCATGGTCTGAGTCCAATACACAGAAATGCTTTGGCAAACTTTGCTCTCTGGCTCTGGATCTTGCATCTGGTGCCCCACTTCTGAGCTCCAGTTCATGGGACTTACGACCCATTGCCTAACCTGATTCCCCAGCTCCCAGAGCCTCCTGCATCAACTGACCGCTGTCTGCCTGCTGATTTGGATTCCTCAGCTGCTGAGACTACCTGGGTGAGGAGAATCCTCCATCCTGACCTCTGAACTATGAACTTGGGACTCGCCAGCCTCTACAACTGCACAAAGATGTAATCTCTGTGAGATGTCATAGAGTGTTGCTGACCCCCGGAATGTGAATGGGAGAGGAAGTGGTGACTGACAGGAAGGAGCATGGAGGGGTCTAACATGTTGGGGAAGTTGGACATTTGGGATACCTTTAACGCCCACGTCTCAGGGCCGAGCCTCCTGTTCATCTATCTAAGAGAAATGATTCACTCAGTAGGGAATCAACTTGATGGCATCCATCAACAACAATAAATCTAAACACCAAAAGAAAACTCTCAAAACATTTCTAAATCATAAAATTCAAAAGAGACCTGAACTTCCTTTAAAAAAGAAAGTTAATGCTAACGTAAGTGATTATCCTTCTGTTACAACAAGGCATTTCAGAATATCTGTGTCTTCCATACCCATGTCTGGAGAAAACGACAAGGCTGGGGTTGAGGAGGAGGGAAGTTCCCAAAGAGAGCCGATACCCTTTCCACCAGTCCTGGCGTGGCGCTGCGGGTTAACGTGCTGGAATTTAAAGTCGGTTTGAACCACAAGATTGGCGGTTCAAGGTCACCAGCTGGTCCTTGGACACTCTGTACAGAGTCACTATGGGCCAGAACGGACTTGATGACATTCAACCACTGCATTTCAAAAAGCTCTGGTAGCACAGGTGTCAAGTGCTTGGGTACTAACCCCAGGGTTAGCAGTTTGAACCTACCAACCGTTTGTTCCACGGGAGAAAGATGTGGCAGTCTGCTTTATAGAAAGTTTGTTGTTGTTATTGTCGTTAGGTGCCGTCGAGTTGGTTCTGACTTGTAGCGACCCTGGATAGGGTTTCCGAGGAGCAGCTGGTGGATTTGAACCGCCAACCTTGTGGTTCAAACAGACCACAGCGGCACACACAGGAAACGCTATGAGGCAGTTCCTGTCTGTCCCATGGAGCTGCTATGAGTCTGGTCTGAATTGATCCCACGGCCATGGGCTTGGTTTTCAGTAACTGCATTCTGACTCGTCGTACTTTATACTGAACATATTTATAGAAAATTCTAAGTGGATGTACGAAATACCCCCACCACACACCTTCAAACTCCCGGACTCTAGTTTGCTGGATGCCAGTTTGCAGGCAGGTTCCAGCAACTTTGACCAAGGCACAGCCAATCGTGGATTTGGCGCCCTCTGGTGGTAGTACGTGCCTCTAACATAAATCAAACAGGCTGGCTGTCTCCCGGGAGCTACAAAGCCTCATCTTTCTCCCTTGGAGCCGCTGGTGGGGATATCACAGCCGACTTTGTGGTTAGCTGCCCTACGGTGAGCCACCAGAGCTCCTTAACACATGTTGTTGTTGTTGTTGTTACTAAGTGCTGTAGAGTCGGTTGCGACTCACAGTGACCCTGAGTAGGGTTTGAGGAGCGGCTGGTGAATGAACAGCCGACCTTCTGGTTCAAACAGAACTTGCGGTCGAGTGCTTATCTTAGAGCTCCACACCACATAAAACAACAACAACAAAACCTCACTGCCATCAAGTCACCTCCAATTCATAGCGACCCTGTAGAGGGCTTCTGAGACTAGACACCTCTGGGAACAGATAGCCTCATCTTTCTCCCTTGGAGTCACAGGTGAGCTCGAACTGCCAACTTTGTGGTTAGCGGTCCATTTCTTATCCTGTAGCGCCACACCAGGACTCCAGCCTCTCACAGAAGGTTGAAAGGAACCTTTCAAACCTGCCTTTTTACAATTCAGGAAGCAAAGGCTACTAGGTGCTACCCAAGGATTGTTGGGGGTGCCGGCTAAACTAGGGATGGGACCCGCTCTCTGGCCTAGTACTGGGTTCCATACGGACTGCACCATAACCACAGAACATCTCTCCCTCTGTCAAAATAGGAGAGACCAAGCCTGCAACTCAGTGGATTCAGCATCGGGCTGCTAATCCCAACGTCAGCAGTTCAAACCCACTAGCTGCTCCTGTCCGATTGCTCGGAGTTCTGATAGATTCAAGAGTAGACACACAATGTTCACTTAGATGGAATACAGTTAGCTTTAAGAGAGACTCCTACACCAGCCCTACCTTTCCCATTGCAGCCCAGATTGGACAGTCTCATTCACCGACTAACACAACATGGGTTTTGCAGAACTATTTCAACTACTGATAGCAACTTTTTTTTTTCTTCCAATGAAGGAAAGGAGATAGAGACTGGATAAGAATAGAGTCTAAAATGTTTATTTTTGAAGGGTGAGAGATTAAAAAAAAAATGTATGGAGAAGAAAGAAGTAATGGAAAGATTTACAAACCAGAATGAAGTGTAACATTGTATTGAGCTGGACTGAAGGATTCCTGGTAGCAGGCTCAGTGGGTCAGCAGTTCGAACCCACTGGCTGCTCCACAGTGATCTGCTTTCATAAAGATGACCTAGAAGACCCAGTCCTGGTGTAGCACCATAGGATAAGCACTCAACTCCAACGTCGGGTTGAACCGCAAGGTCAGTGGTTCAAACCCACCAGCTGCTCCTTAGAAACCCTATAAAGGGTCGCAGTGAATCAGAACTGACTCGAAGGCACTTAACAACAAACACAAAAGAAAATCCAGCGGGGCAGTTCTACTTTGTCACAAGGGGTCGCTATGTGTTGGACCTGACTCGATGGAACACGACAACCTTCTGGATTGGATCCTGGAAAGGGCGCTCGTGAAAACAAACTGGTGAAATGCAAAGTCTGCAGCTGACTTCATCGCTCTGTGGCAGCATTGCTGCTTACTTTCACTAAACACATCACAGACCTGGAAGGGCAGGGATGTGGGCTGAGGAGTGGGTGAGAGCTCTTGATATCTTTGCAACAACTCTGTCAATTTAAAGGATTTCAAAACAGAATGCTTTTTCTAAAATAACCACCTATGGGATAGGAGAGAACAGCATGCAGATGGAAGCCCCCAGAATGAGGCTGTGGAGCTAGGTGGCAAGTGCCACTGGCACTGAACAGGAGAGGAATCTCTTGCTCCCAGAGATCAGAGGAGAGGGCTGGGGTGTACACAAACCATTTAATACATTGCTCCCAGGACTCAGAAGCCAAAGCTAGAAATGGAAGCACAGTGAACACACCTACAAGTTGGTGAGAAGACACTTGCTAAAGGTAAGGACAAATCCAGACGACAAAGGCAGCAGCTCCTGTTTCCTACCTACCCCTGCCACTCACGTCAGTAACAATACCCCTGCCACTCACGTCAGTAACAAGCCCAGGCCCTGGCAGAAGCTTGTAATAGATGCCCACTTCCTGTTGTTGTTGTGTGCCGCCGAGTTGGTCTCCGCTGTGGCACTGGAGGCTTAGCACTGGACTCTAAACCACACCCTCCAGCTGCTCCTCAGAAACCCTGTTGTTTTTGTTAGGTGCCGTCGAGATGGTGCCGACTCATACTGACCCGATGCACAATAAATAGAATGAAACACTGCCCGCTTCGGGGCCAAACTCACAATTGTTGCCATACTTGAGCCCACTGATGTTGCCACTTGGCCAATCCATCTCACTGGGGGTCTTCCTGTTTTTCTCTGACCCTCCGCCTTACCAAACATGATATCCTTCTCCAGTCAGTGACTGGTCCCTCCTGACAATATGTCTGAAGTATGAGAGATGAAGTTTGGCCATCCTGGCCTCCAAGGAGCACTCTGGCTGTACTTCTTCCAATACAGATCTGTTGGTTCTTTTGGCAGCCCATGGTACTTTTAGTATTCTTCTCCAACACCATAATTCAAATGCATCAATTCTTCTACGGTCTTCCTTATTCACTGTCCAGCTTTTGCAGCCATATGAGGTTACTGAAAATACCATGGCTTGGGTCAGGTGCACCTTAGTACTGGTTGCTATGAGTTGGAACTGATCTAATGGCACTACACAACGACAACAACAGTGACCTATGTGGTAGAGTAGGACAGCCCAGTGGGGTTTTCTAGGCTGCCATATTTTCCAGGGCAGGTGGCCAGTTCATTCCTGTGCAGAGACTCTAGGTGGGTTTAAACTTATGACCTTTTAACTAGAACAAGGGCTTTAAACACCAGGACACCATGGTTCCTTTGATTCTCACTAAAGCCATGGCATAGAGTTGACTCTGACTCATAATGAGCTTATGGGAGAGCGTAGACCTGCTCACGAGGGCTTCCACAATGGTAAATCTTTCTGTAGCACACAAGTCCTCTTTCTCCCAGAGTGGCTGCTGGATTCAAACCGCCAGACTTGCAGTTAGCAGCCTAATGCTTAACCCACTGTACTATCAAGTATCCTTCAGATCATGGTGTTGAGGGATGCGCCTTTGGCCATAAAGTCGGTTTGAACTGACTGCAACATTGGTGGTTCAAACTCATCAGCTGCTCCTCAGAAACCCTATACGGGGAACTGACTCAACAGCACTTAACAACAGGAGTTTATTTTATTGGCTTAAAACTCTCTTCCTTCATCTGAATGTGAGTAATCCAGCTTCTTACCGGCAGCAAGTGCAAAATCTCAGCTTTTATATATTCTTACTAAATGGCAAAAATATATATATATATATATTACTCATAAGATATAAGATTTGTGTCTGGCTCCACATTTAAAAGGGGAAAAAATAAGAAAAATGATGTATATATTTACCATCTCAAAGGATATAGTAAATTATACAGATGATATGACTTAGAAGTATATATATAAATTAAGGCACTTTATTGCATTTCTGTAAAAAATCTTGCTTTTTAGATAAGATGAGACTTTGAATTGTCCTGGGAAATGTGTGTTCTTTTATAAATGGGCATTATAACTAAACACTGAGCTAGTCAGATTTCTTTGATTGTAAGCAACAGACTCTAACTTTGGCTCATACAAATCAAAAAGGGATTTAATGGGAAGATGGTAAATGTACACTGAGGGAGTGGGAGTCAAAGGCCACCAAACCCACAGCCGTCATGTGGATTCTGACGCATAGTGACCCTGCTTCCGAAGGCTTCCCAAACTCATCTTTACAGAGGCAGACTGCCATCTCTCTCTCCCAAGGAGTAGCTGATGGGTTTAAACTGCCGACCTCTCAGATAGCAGCGGAGCACCTAAACACTGTGCCAGCAGAACTCCTTTCTGATGTGAGGAGTTGTTGGTGTTGTGAAGTGCTGTCGAGTTGGTTCTGACCCACAGCGACCCTGTGTACGGTTTCCAAGGAGCAGCTGGTGAGCTCGAACCACCGACCTTGCAGTTCAAACGACTTTGCAGTCTGATGCATTAATTCACAACGCCACACCAATGTGAGGAGTAGGGATGGAGAAATGAGGAACAGCAAGGCGAAGGGTCAGGAACCAAGAGATCCCATGAGAGAAAGTAACGGACTAATCAAGACCCTGAAAACACCAACAACTGTGGCTTCTGTCTTTTGGGCCAGAGAAAAGGACAGGGCCCAGTGATGGGCAGGCCCACTAAAACCACACCTGTTGGAAGACAGGTAATTCAGCAAAAGCCTATGACTGGAAGGAATCATAATGGAGGTTGAATCATATGCTTCAGTGACTGTGCCTGTCGTTCCATCTTCCAGATCACCAGGCTAACTCCTATTTGCCCCTCAAAGCCCAAACAACATAGCCCAATTCTGAGAAATCAGGCCGAGGAAACCAGTTTGCACTGTAAGTTCACTGAGGACAAGAATAATCTCTTTCATCTCAGCTGCTTCTGGGCGTATGGCAATGCCCGTGGCCACATAAATGCTAACCAAATGATGGCCAAAACACATGGAACTACTAAACCACGGTTGTGTTCTTTTTTAACCAAGCTTGAAAAGAGCACGTGGGATATTCTAGAGAGACACAAACAAGGGGCCGTTACCTTGGCGAATTTGCGCGACGTTTGTGATAGCCTGGCGATGTCTTCAAGATCCAGGTAGGAGATGATACACAGGAGCAAGCTGTCCGAGAGTCGCTCCAGGAAGTCAAATTTTCCTTGGCACAGATTGAGGACATACTCTATGATTTTTGCACCAAATATTAAGGCAACTTGAACTGTAATCCAAAGAAACCAACAAACTAACATGGCTATGGTGTACCAACATATAAAAACTATGAAAACAGGATGCAGGGTTCAATTCTGGGCATTTCACTCAGGGCCCACCCACTCCGACCCTCACTAGGGTTCCCGACGCTGCAAAGCTTTCCTGAGGGGTGGCTGGTGGATTCGAACTGCTGGCCTTGCGGTTAGCCGCCCAGCTCATAACCCACTGTGTTCCCCCGGGAATGGTGCTCAATTATTCTAAAACATTCCGCCTCTCTCCATGCTGCCTCAGTGACCAAGGACTCAACTGGCGAGTCTTTCCTTTCCACCTGCCCACCCTGCTCTGACAGTGGACTTTTCAGGACTTTTGTTATTGTCGTCGTTGTTATGTGCCGTGGAGTCGGTTCTGACTCACAGTGACCCTGTACAGGGTTTCCGAGGCTGTAAATCTTTACGGGAGCAGAAAGCCTCATCTTTCTCCCGCACAACAGCTGGTAGTTTCGAACTGCTGACCTTGTGGTTCGCAGCCCAATTCGTAACTACAGGTCAGGAAACCCTATCCAGGGTCGCTATGGGTTGGAATCGACTCGATGGCACTTAACTATAACAACAACAACAGCAAAGACTGGCTGCAGCCCCCTGCTCACATCAGCATCAGACTTCCCTCACACAACTGACTTAGGCAGTCTCCCATCCTCCTTGGCCCCACTGGCTGTTCACACTACGTGAGGGGAGAGGGAAGAGATGCTGGTTCACGTGGTTTTTCTATGCCCACCCCCACCACTGTGTCTTAATTTCAATAGATATTTTCCTCTTATTTTTCATGATGTTTTCCCACCAGACTTTCTTCCTGCCTCTTTACCTTCTTTCATCTCTATCTTTACACAAGAGAAAACAGAAAGACAAAAAAATAATACATGAACATTTTTGGTGGAAACAATTTTCACTTTTGGCCCAGGTTTTTCATACCTCGTTTCCAAATTAGGTAATGGTCCACAGAGATTCAGCCAGGACCGTGGTCCACCCAAACACGGCCCATGGAGGAAGGAAGCCTTCTACAAGGCCAGGATACAGATAGCACATAGGAAAACACGTTTAGAAGTGTACCTATTCGGATTTCACTGGGTGGTGATTTTACTTTCTTCCTTTGGCTAGTTGTATCTGCTAATTTTTTATAGGAAATTTTGTATCTTTATGCCAATTTCATGACCATTCAATCAAAAGCAAACTTCTTTTCATGGCACATCGCTCCTCCAGATCTGTCAGCATCCTTCTCTGCATTTGCTGATCTATTCGCCAATAACCCTATATCACCAGTGGTTGTTGATGCTGTTGTTAAGGGCTGTTGAGACAGTTCAGACTCATAGCAACCCTGTATAGGGTTTCCAAGAAGCTATTGGTGGGTTTGAACCACCGACCTTGTGGATCAAACCGACCTTGTGGTTCAGTGCTTATCTTACTGCGCCACACATTGTTTAAATCTTAAAAAGAAGATTGTAGGAGGAAGGGAAGATGGAAGAGATGTGAGAGAGAGAAAGAAGAAAGTTAAGAAAGGAAGCAGGTAGGAGAGAAAGGAGAAGAGAGGGGAGGAGAGGAAGATTCCACCCTGAGAAGTTCATCGTCCAGCACTATAGTATCAGACAATGTTCTACTGCTACGCAACAAGCTGTCAGTGGCTAATGTTTTAGAAGAGGACCACCTCCTCCTTCTTCCTAGTCTGAAGCCCCAATGAAAACTGTCCACCATGAGTAACTAAGAAATACCTCTGGTACAGCTTCTAGCATCTCTGTAACATGCAAGCCATAAGACACACCAACTGGTAGACAAGTGGTGGGTTTCTACAACTAGTATGTCAAAAACAAAACAAAGCAAATGCTGGTGAAATTATGATTAAAAAGTGATAAATTCTCCATCATCATGGGAGATTTTGTAACACCTCTATCAATATTTGACATACCAAAAGGAAAAAATTAGTATAACTATGTATTTGGATGACAGTATTAAAAAGATTTATTTGGTAGGCATAAACAGAACCCTGTACCTAACAATTAGAATGATTTTCAGTTCTTGTAAGGAACATATATAGAACACATATGTAATCTGAGCATGAACTAGATCATCCTCAATAAAAACCTGGTATCGCACAGACCAGGTTCTCAGATCATTGGGCAACAAATTTAGAAATCCAAAACAAAAATTTAGAATGCTTTCTCAAACATTTGGAAATCTTAAACACATTTCTGAATAATCTGTTTGTCAAAGAGGACAACATAAATGAAATTAGCAAATATGTAAATCTAAGCAAAAATAAAAATTCTACATTAAAAGTGTATGTATACAGAAACTAGGAATCCTGGTGTGGCACTGTAGGATAAACACTGGACTGCTAACCATGAGGTCAGTGGTTCAAACCCACCAGCCGCTCACTGGAAACCCTATATGGGGTCACGATGAGTCAGAACCATATACTCACTGACACTTAATAACAACTACATATAAAAACTGTTA